TTTATATGGCGGCTTGTCTGTTCTGAGACAAGGCCTGATTTTATTCAAAGCAAATTTCTCTAACTGGTACTTTATTCTGATGGGTATTTCCTGCCTGACAGAGCCAATGTATTATACTAGTACATTACGATAGCTTTCCTATCCCTCCTGACAGAATGAGCTGCCCTTTTTCCAAGCACATTTGATAGCCCATCTTAAAATATGAAGTATTTTGATGTATTTCATGCACTAAGGTTCTTCTCCTGCACTTGTATACAAGATCTCAGATATTGTAATTATGAGTTGCTGCTCTCTCGGGTGTAAAATAAAGACACGGGATAGATGCAGAAGTTTGTGGTTGCCCTTGGCTTAGTCCAACTGAATAGCTTGAATACCTTTTTAATGTACGCTGTCTTTACTTGATGGTTGATAGTAGAGGTCTCCAGGAAACAGAAGGATATTGCAATTATAAAATCAAGTGCCAAGGCCACAGGGATGCCCAAAACCTCAAACATGTCTCACACTTTTGACATTCCAAATAAACCTCATAATTTTACCTTATGTTGGTGGCTGTAATCTATGAATACATGAATGGACTGAATACACTGTGAGTAACGAGCCGTAAAACACATCTGTTTTCAAGATGACAAGCCAGAGATACTGATGGTTCCCTGTTGGTTGATACGTCTGGCGTGTTCTCAAGCATCTCTGAGTTTCCCACGAGGACTATTCAGAAATCAGACAGGTTTGGTTTCATATTATCAAAAAGATGAGCAAATCCCACTACAATTACCTCTGGAACCAAACTATACATTGACTGCTTATTCTATATCAGTTGCTAATGACCTCTCCATGTCCAATAAATATGTGAGCACCAAGCACAGGTAAGGCTGCTTATCTTGTATTATCTGCTCTCAAGGTACCAATGTGTGTGTATTTTTTTGGGGTGTTTTTGCATTAGTGTGGCATGGGTGGGCACGTTTGAGTGCCAGCTGGAGGCAGAGAGGGGGAGTGGATTCCCTCCTGCCATGCCAGCTGGTGCACCTTATCTGAGTCAAGTTGAAAGGGTTAAAACACACCCACTGAAAGGGAAGACGGCAAAACACCAAAGGAGCATGTCCATGTTCTCACTCTCTACAGCATTTTCTCCAGCAGCGTATAACGTTTCCATGTACAATAGATACTTTTGAGTTCTAACCTCAGGAGATACAGCGCAATGGTGAGGAGGTGTGAATTTATACCAGCTAAAGAAATTATTTCTATACCATAGATGAAACAGTCACCTTGCACACCGCATCTGAGGTCATGGCAGTCTTTTCATTCTCTGAAAACTCTTCCCTACTTGATAGCCTCCAACATCTTGCTGCTCTTTCTGCAGCCTGCTCGTCTTCAAACAAATTCAAGTCCAGATGCTCAGTTCTCCTGCAACTCTCCGCAAACTCTCGACCCAGTGAAACTTGTTAATCTCTTAAACCCCCTGAACCCTTTCCTCCTCTGCAACATTTCATCCTTTTATTCTCCACAGTCTCCATCCATCTGGAACGTCTTCGCCCATTGCATCATCTTACTGTAAAGACTTTAACACCTCTTACTTTCTGGAACCTTGAATCCTCCCAAGACGTTTCTCTGACTATCTTGACGCCACGTTTGTAATTTGAGTTTGATACTTCGGAAACAGAACAAGTCGCACGAGGAATATCTATATTTGTAGTACGCACAATGAGACGACGGATAAACGCACACACAGACACACAGACAAGCAACCCTGTTCTAAGTAGCTACAGACATCAAGTAGGGAGATTACGGAGGGAGCTGTGTCAATGTGTCAGTGTGTGAGTGTTTCCTCTGTCTCTCTCTCTCTCTCTCTCTCCCTGTCTCTCTCCATCCATCTCTCTCACTTACTCCCCCTCCTCTTTCTGAGACAAAATGGCCAGATGGCTTCCAATCCTAGATGCTAATCCACAACACACAGACTGTAGCTCTGACACACCTACCACAAGAGTACTGCTCCGATCTAGACGGCTGTGCCCTTAAAACACACGCACAACACGCACAACACACACACACACACACACACACACAAACACACAAGCACACACACACACCAACATGAGACCACTACACATTCATAAACTGTCAACAAGAGTCCTGAATGATAACTCCACTTAACAATAGCAACACAACTTACCCAGAGTAAGTCCTCAACAGATGGAGGCCTACTTGTATGTGTTGTGTGTGTGTGTGTGTCCTATACTATCATATTTCAGCCAGCCCAGTTAGCAGGCTACTGGCCAAGATGAGGTCCTGTGTCTACTGCTTTTGTTAGCTGAGGTGAGGTAAGAGAAGCTGTGTGTGTTGGGTTACACCGGCCAACGGAAAACATGGGGAAGCCCAGAATGGCACGCTAATACACAGGGAGACAAACAGGCAGACATACTGAAAAAAGAAATGTTTTACATTTTCTCGGTGCACAAATGAAGTGCTGCTTTTACCATGTGTCCTCTATGACCATGTTAAATAAAAGCGCATGACATGAGGTGGCAGATTAGATTAACTGTTTCATTTTGGTCACCCAGGTCTGGGCAGATGATCCTATTGAAAACATAAATAAAACAAAGTAAAATGAAACATCTACTAGTACATTTATCCAAGTGCCAAACAGATAAGGATGTCCAGGTTAGCTCCTCAAAACTACCTTTTCTAGCATTGCCTGACAAATCAAGCTACAATAAAATCATTCATTATTTAAGCATAATGAAGAGAGAAAAGTCAAAACCCCAGTTTATTACAGTGAAAAGATACTGTGAATGATGCGTATCTCTTTTCTGTGATGATTTAGTAAATGATTTTCTTTTCCACGTTTCTCTCCATTCAGTCTTACAAGGCCATTCAATCTAATGCTGGTTGTTCACTGAATATGAATAATAAAGGTAATGGATGTCTCGGTTAGTCGGTCATAAAGGTCAGTTGTGAAAACATTTGCATCAAAGCTAAACCACAATAAACTTGGATGTTGCCTGCAGAACATGTGTTTACACTATAAACGGTATACTGAGAGGTGCAGGTTTACTTTTATTCAGAGGAACACAGAATGCACAGTGTATGAGAGCAGTCACATCATCACATGTTGAGTAGCAACAGCTTCTGCCTGTGTTTTGTCTTTGCACATATGAAATTTTTATGAGGTGCATGCAACCTATGCAGAGACAATAGCCTATACAGGTACATGAATACTTTCAAATGACGGCGAGCAGCCCTGCACAAACCCATATAAAGACATACAAAATGCAGAGCTTTTAACTGAAAATTAAGGTGTGATAAATATATATCGAATGTGGCATGTGGTGCATAGTGTCTACAGTCCAGAGAGGAGACCAATTATCCAGCAACAGTTTCACAGAACAGGACATGTTAATACCAAACGGTAAAACCCAGCTTTTCTGTCTGATTGTCTCTATACCTGACACTGCATTAGATTACCACTGTACGCCTGGTGTCTTTTCTGCCAAGACCAGTGCTGTGTAATAATGTGCTGTACTAGCACAAACTATTTTATGCACTGACAAAATTTTCTGTGAGTTTTAAGTAAAAACAACAGTAAAGATGATAAAATGATGTTGTTAAAATGAAAAAGGACAAAGGAGGGGGCACGGTGGTGGTGTTTATGGACAGTTTAGGTTTTAGCCACTTCATATTTCAATGCAAAAATACAGCACAAACCCTTGGATGAGCACAGTGAAAGAAGGATAGAGTGCAGTCATGGTGTAGGATGTCCAGACAGACAGATTAGTAATGAATGGAAGGGCATGGATGTGTATCAATATAACAGGCCAACGTTCAAAGGGAGTAGCACCTTCAGTATCCCATCCCCCAATTCCCCTCTACAATCATTTCACCCTCCCTCGATCACTGACATGACTCCCTAACATCCCCTTTTCACACGACAGCCAGACAACAGGTCTCCCATCAGGCCCTGCTTCTCACAAACCGGAGGATGACTGCGCTTCCTGGGAGAGGAATCTCTCACTCCCTCTACGTTGGCTCTGACACCACGATCTAAATGAGCAGCAGTGATGGGGAGACACACATTCAGCTCGTACTGTAGCCAGTCCTTCCATCCTCCTCCTCCACCACCGATGGCTGTGGAAGAATCCGTGGCAGAACAGCTCAGCTTTCACAGGACCGGCCCCCACCCCCACTCCGATCCCCAATGAAGTCAGGTGACCAGATGTTGTATATCTCCCTGTCACTACAGCCGCCATGAAACCGCTACACACATCCATGTTAAAGGCAGGAGACAGAGGCATGTCTCTGCTGTCTGTGTGTGTGTGTGTGTGAGTGTGATCACTGAAAGACAGAAATGGAAATAAAAGCCATTTCTTCGTGAAACCCTCCCTAGAAAGACCATAAGTGAGGCAGTGCAGAGATAACAAAAGAGCATCCATCAGCATATTAACCATCCATCACCCCCCACCCTATCCACAGCATATACAGCTCAGATCCATCCGTCAGCCTCGGGTCTACAGACCCAAAATAGCATTGCTTCTTTTTTGTTCCAGTGTTGCCACTGCAGCTGCTGCATTTCTCCAGAACTGACACACACACACACACACACACACACACACACACACACACAGACACACACACACACACACACACACACACACACAGCCTGTACAAACGCCACCATTGATTCTAACCCTCCCCATCAATAAAGATGCTATTTGTGAGGCACGAGGGAGTACATACAGAGATGATGTGATGCAGAGGGGGGTATATGATCATAGAAAAAATATCCAGCCCATCTGATGCAGGCATCCATTTCCATCTCGCCCTCACGGACAGACTGCTGATGAAACAGCTGCCTCCTTAGCAGGGCAGAATGCAGAATGGAAGAAGAAAAAAAAAAAGGCTACAAAGCACCCCTACATACACAGCCTCCCCCTCCTCCTCCTCTCTTCTCCTCCCTCCTCTGCCTCCCCCCTCCACATCCCCTATTGCATACACAGAGAGGGAATTACCTGAAATATGTCTTCACATTCTCTTGCTCAGTCTTTCGCCTTTGAGCCTGGAGCTGTGGTAGATTCATCGTCAACCGTACAGTCCTAATGACAGTGTAAAGGCAGGATTGCCATTCTCTTGTCAGACCAGTTCCTGACCCTAAAAGCAAGCTTGTTCGGCAGGCTGGATGCTTCACTGGCTGCTCACTGTTCCCTAGCCCATGATGTCATCCACCCAGCTTTGCCCATTGGCTGAGAGGCTGAATATTAATGCAGGCAGCAGGTCTGGGGGAGGAGGCAGCCAACGGCCAGACAGACTTGGTTTTCTGTTTAACAGACCAAACCTGCTGAGTGAGAAGGCTAGGAGGGAGGAATTATGTGTCCTGATCAAAAGCTTTTCTTTTGCAGACTTGTAAGGCAGGGGTCTATGTTGCTATAGCTTTTAGTACTTCAGGGAGGCTGGTAAATCTGCAAATTTAAGGCTTTGCAAAAGTGGGTCTTTTAGGTTTAAATTTTGCACTGACAAGTCTGTGTTGTATGCAATAGTCCAAAACAACTATAGTTTCACTATGTGTAGAGTGCATGAAAGAAAACAGCATATAACTAAGTATAAATAGTGAAAATATAATAATTTGCTACAAAAAAGTTCTGAGTACAAAAGCAGTAAACAACTAATCACATGTTGGAATGTGATTAAATGTAATTAGGATCCCTGTATATTACTCAACTGTATCACAAACACCTACTGAGCTTTGATATTTGGTTATCTTAAATGGAATCATACAGCTTTATTTTGTGTAGGAAAGGGGGATTCTTTCCTTTCAGAGTTATCTTAGTCCACAAAATAAACAGAAACAACAAATCTCTGTCGATTCTGGCTAAAGTTAGGTAAGGTAAGGCTTTCTATTTTCTTTTTTTAGAAGGTAATCGCTGCTGATGTGACCCAGCCACGTGCATTTCATCTTTTTCTTAAGATGCTGAAGATTTTGCAAACCACAGACTCAGACATGACTACTTGATAACAAAGAAATGTAATTTAAAAGAGAATAATATTTTGGTCCACTGATAACTTACATGTGCACGTCACTAAAATACTGACATCATATAGGATCATTGTACTTTGATCCAATGTTGCTAATTAACTGTAATGCTACATTTTCACCTATTTTTTAATTTTTCATTATCTTGAAGTGATACCAAATTTTTAAAATGAAAAGAAATCTTTTCTCGATTTTATGATGTATCTGCCAAACACCAACAGATTTCTGATAAAAGTGAATATAAGTGTATAAAAGGTTCATACGCAGGCGGAGACGACAACCACAATGCTCACTGCATTTGCCCTAATTTGCCTATGATGTCATCTTTTTCTTCTATCTCACCTGCGATTGGCTGACTGTCACAGCATCTGCTCAGTCTCATGGCTAGTGCTTCTAGCCCAAGGTGGAGGCCTATCTGAGGCTCTGTGAATCATGGCTGGTTGTCCTGACAACCCCTGTAATGTCGATTTCTTGTCGGAGAGTAATATGGCTGTTCTGTGACAGTGTTCACTCAAATGCAGAACCCGATAATCACAAGAAGACAGTGTCCCTTATAATCCTTTATTTACATCAGAGGTTGGCCTTTGTGATGTTTTACATAAAAAATGGAGCTTTGAAAAAAATTGGATTATTATACAATAAATGTTGGTAGTTGGTTGTTCTTTTTTATTTTTTTGTAACAAGCATATGAAACTTTCCGAAGTCTTGGGGATTTAAGATACATTAAAAATCAGAAATAATCCCATACACATCTTTTTTTTGACAGTTTCCTCCAGCATTACAGACTATATTGCAAAACCAGATTAAACCCTGCCAACATAGATGAGAAAAAGAAATGCAAAATGTAAATTTAGCTCAGCAGTGGCACAAAAAACATTTTAAAGCAGAGAGGAGGTTTTGCTCTGTCTCCTGACAGCAGACACGAAGGATCACCGTACACTTACACAGAGGCAGTGAGGCAAAGTTAATACAGAAAAATGTCAAAATGCTCCTGGATCTGAGACAGCAAGACAACAAGAGAACAAAACAACGACAAAGCCTTGAAAACATGAGAAAAACTGCATTTGGATAATGTTGGCCTTTTCAATGTTATCATTTCTGGACATCTATATTATATCCAAGTCTCTTTTATTGTCAGATTTTGCCAATTCAGTCCTCCCACGAGTTTAAAACAGCAGCAACCACCACTTCATTCATTTTCTATGCTTATGACTTCACCACATGTGACTGTAACTGTGAATAATCAGCATCACAGCGGGGCTGCCACAGCAGGCATTTGGCTGATGGAGAGGAAATACAATGGACAGGTCAACTGTCCATCACAGGTCCAACACATGATTAGACAAACACTCTCGAACACGTGACTATTTAACCCAAAGGCCTTCGGATTCGAGAGAAATCCATACAAACACAGAAACACGCAAACTCCCCCCTTGAGGTGACAGTGCTAACCGTGCTAACCGTGCTTCCCCGACTGGAACGAGGATCGATCAATTCATGTCTTTGGTATTCTCAAATATCAAAGGCCTGTTTCTTTTTCCACGGACCGACTCATGTCATGGCATAATGAGTTTTCTTCCAAAGTTATAAATGGCTGTTAGTTCACTAACTGTAAAACCATCAGTTCCTGTGCGCACTTCAGGTCAGTCCCCTTCAGCCAATCAACAGGGTCGGCCCAAACAGTTATGTGGCCCTGGCCAGAATCTGGACCCACCACTCAACAAAGAAATACACAACCAATTCCTTACATGACTGCACTGAGGTATAGGCTCCAGTTTTTCTTTAACCTTTCTGTTGGCCATCATTTTTGTAGATTCAAACTGATTTAACCAGCGAAATGAACAAAAGATTATACCTCCCACCTGGATTAACGTAATTTGTCTGCTCTGTGAGAGGAGCAGATGTTTTGTACTCCAAAAGCGATAAACTGGGTTGGCAACAATGATTAGAAAGGTCACAGACTTTCTACTACAGCCAGTGTATGTCCCCTCACTGCCACTGCCGTGTCCTTTAGAACTACTGAACCCGCACACCTGCTCCCTCACTGTAAGTCACCATAGATAAGAAATGCATATAATGTCTTAATTAAAGACCAGCACAACAGACAGACATACAGATGACTCTCCACTTTTATTTGTTGTTGTGTCTCAAACTGTTTCAGTTCCAGCAGCTGTGTATTGACATTAATATGACTGATGCAATACTTTCTCCATTCCACATTCTGCTAAATATGTGGCAATTACTTATAAACTTAGCCAAGTAATACTCAAGGCACATCACTTCCTAAAGCTTGGCAGTGTAAGCTCAGATCAGGAGCTGACAGGACAACCTGCAGCTGCAGTGAAGAGGAGCATGATTTACTAGTATCCATAGGCTGCTGTCAGTGATCAGGTTTATATAATGAATCCTATAAATATCCTCTGGGGCACAGCACATCTCCATGTTGACATTTTGTAATAAGCCCTGTCTGGAATTTACGTGTGGTGGGCAGTGTCAGGAAAAATGCTTTCTAAGTGGAATCTACATTGTATAACTGTATAACCTACATATATCCTGACTTATAATTGTATCAGTGACACAATCAGGTAGGTTCCTAAAAAAAACAGTGTTGTAATCTTGTTATGTGCATCTGAGTTTACAGTTGACTGCCTGTAATGTAAAGCAGTGTTGTTATTTCACTGCAACCCATAATTCACTTAATACTGAAGTGTTGCTTTTCTGTACATGTCAGTGTCAAAAAAATGTTTTCATCAATGTTGCATCAAGATTATTAGGGAAAATTACAAACAAGTGTATATTACTTCTATTGTCATAACATGAGCATTATGTAAAGTGACTGTAAGGAAAATATTAACGGTGTTTAAGCCATGCTAGAGGCATGGCTTTATGGACGGTCTTTCTGTCCACAATTCTGGTCCAGACTGAAATATCACAATAACAACTGAATCAACCGCAATGAAATTTTGTATAGATAGATATTCATGGTCCACAGTGGATGAATACTACTGACTTTGGTGATGCCCTGACTTTACCTTAGGCGCCACTGTGAAGCTGACATTTTTGTTTTCAAGTGAAATATCTCAACAACTATTTGATAGATTACAATCAAATTTGGTGCAGATATTCACGGTGCCCAGAGGATGAATACTAATGACTTTGGTCATCCCCAGACTTTTCATGTAGTCCCACCAGCAGGCCCAATTTGGTACAGCAATTCATTATAATGAACCCTGATGATTTTGGTGATCCCCTGACTGTTCTTCTAGCGCCACCAGCAGGTCAGTGCTCCCACTTATCCAATGACATATGTCCACATGTCCTGGATGCCACAAAATTTATTACAGATATTCACGGTTCCTGGAAGATTAATGGTTTTTGGTGAAATGTCTTGACAACTATTTAATAGATTGCCATGGATATAGTACAAATATTCATATCCCCCTCAGGATGAATTGTAACATCTCTGGTGATCCTTTCACTTTTCATATAGCACTGTCGTACATTTAATTTGCCCATTATTTGGTTTAAAAGACCTACAAAACTAATGGCATTCCCATTAGCCTCAGCTACATTTTGTGTTTAGCATAAATGTTAGCATTCTAAAATGCTAACTTTGAGCATGAACATTACACCATCAGCATGTTAGCAGTGCTATTGTGAGCATGTTAGCAAGCTGATATTCCCATTTAGTATAAAGCACCACTGCGCCTTAGTCCAGCCCCACAGAGCTGCTAAAGCATGGGTGCAGTCTCCTAGTCTTGTTTGTATTTATTTTGTATTTTATGTATATTAGTAGAAGGAATTCAGAGATTTGTGCACCTTTTATTGGTTCTTTGAAAGTTTTCTGCCTTCTGGGTAACAGGAAATATCATGCACAGCTGCAATGGGCAAAACAAGTTTTCTCATTTTATGGCAATGAAGCTTTGCAATCCAGTTGAATCTATTTCATCTGCTCAAATATCCCTTTGGTTTACCAACTCAGCCAGGTCAGCTATAAATTCCATCAACAGACACAGCATACAATTTTTGTTTGCAATATGAATGCAATTTCATCAATGCTTGTGTGCAGCAGCATTTCTTGATGATCCTTTTACAT